TGGTGCGAGGGAAACTGTTAGCACTAAAAAGTGACAAATCTCCTGGTCCGGATGGCTTGCATCCCAGGGTTTTAAAAGAGGTAGCTTATGAGATAGTGGAGGCCTTATGTCTGATCTTCCAAAATTCCTTGGATTCTGGAACAGTCCCCATGGATTGGAAGATCGCAAATGTCACACCACTATTTAAAAAAGGTGGAAAGGAAAAGATGGGGAACTATAGGCCAGTTAGTCTCACATCAGTGATAGGAAAAATTTTAGAATCATTGATTAAGGATGTGGTAGTGCGGTATTTAGGGGAGCACAATATAATTAGGCCAAGTCAACATGGCTTTACAAAAGGGAAGTCATGTTTGACAAATCTCATAGAGTTTTTTGAGGATATTTCCAGTAAACTAGATAAGGGTGAATCAGTGGATGTGGTCTATTTGGACTTCCAGAAGGCATTCGATAAGGTGCCGCATAAAAGGTTAGTCCAAAAGATAAGGGCCCATGGAATTGGGGGAGCATATTAACGTGGATTGGGGAATGGTTAACGGGTAGGAAACAAAGAGTAGGGATAAACGGGTCCTTTTCAGATTGGCGGGATGTGACTAGTGGAGTGCCACAAGGATCAGTCCTTGGGCCTCAGCTATTTACCATCTACATCAACGATCTAGATGAGGACATCGAAGTTAATATATCTAAATTTGCGGATGACACAAAACTAGGAGGAAGGGTCAACACAGAGGACGACAGTAAAAAATGCAGCGCGACATAGATAGGTTAGGTGATTGGGCAGGTAGGTGGCAGATGAAGTATAATGTAGGGAAGTGCAAAGTCATCCACCTCGGTAGCAAAAACAGTAGAGCGAGTTACTTTTTAGAAGGGGAGAGATTGGAATGTGTTAGCGTCCAGAGGGACTTGGGTGTCCTTGTACACCAATCGCAGAAAGTTAGTCTGCAGGTGCAGCAGCAATTAGGAAGGAGAACGGTATGTTAGCATTCATTATGAAAGGATTAGAGTATAAGAGTAGGGAAGTCTTGCTGCAACTGTATAGGGCCCTGGTGAGACCACACCTGGAATACTGTGTGCAGTTTTGGTCTCCTTATTTAAGGAAGGGTGTACTTGCCTTGGAGGGGGTGCAGCGTAGATTTACTAGGTTAGTACCAGGGATGAAGGGGATGAGTTACGAGGATAGGCTGACCAATTTGGGTCTATATTCTCTAGAATATAGAAGAATTAGAGGGGATCTTATAGAAACCTATAAGATCATCAAAGGGCGTGATAGAGTAGATAGTGGGAGATTGTTTCCCCTGGTTGGAGAAACTAAAACCAGGGATCACAACCGTAAAATCAGAGGCCAGCCCTTTCTCATTGAGTTAAGGAAGAACTTCTTCACTCAAAGGGTGGTGAATGTATGGAACTCACTACCCCAAAGGGCTGTTGACGCTCAGTCCTTGAACATATTCAAAACTGAGATAGATATACTTCTTATTGCAAAAGGGATTAAGGGATATGGGGATAAGGCAGGGTCAGGTTATTAGCTGGAGTTAGATTAGAAAATCAGCCATGTTTGAATGGCGGGGCAGGCTCGAAGGGCCGAATGGCCTACTCCTGCTCCTACATGTTATGTTGTGTTATATTATGTTATGACAGAATGAAAGTATTTATTTAGGGACTCTGCCATATCCTTATCCCCCATTGTAATTCCTCCTGTCTCTGCCTATAATGGATCCACATTTACTTTTGATAGCCTATTCGTCTTAATGTATTTATAAAAACTCTTACAATCTGTCTTAATGTTCCTAGCCAGCTTGCCCTCATAATCCATTTTCTCACTCTTAATGAGCTTTTTGGTTTTCTTTTGTTGGTCCCTAAAACACTCCGAGTCCTCAGGTTTGCTACTCTTTTTGGCAGTTTTATAGGCCTTTTCTTTTAGTTTTATACTTTTTCTAACTGCTCTAGTTAGCCACGGGTGAACTGCTTTCCCTGTGGTACTCTTATTCCTCAAGGGAATATGTGACCGCTAAGAATTTTGCACTACATCTTTAAACGTTTGCCACTGTTGGGCTATTGTCATATCCATGAATCTAATTCTCCAGTCTATATTAGCTAATTCCTCCCTCATACATGTAAAGTTAGCTTTATTTAAATTTAAGACTCTTGCTTCGAATTTGACTACATCGCTCTCTAACTTATTACTAAATTCTATCGTGTTATGATCACTCTGCCCTAGAGGAGCCTTAATATCTAAATTACCGACTAGCCCTGTTTCGTTGTACAACACAAGGTCTAGTATGGCCTGTCCCCTAGTTGGTTCCTCAGCATGCTGTTCCAGAAAGCTCTCTCTCATAACACTCTATAAACTCTTCCTCTACCCTACGTTTGCTGATTTGGTTTTCCCAATCTATGTGAAGATTGAAATCACCCTAAGATCCTCACACTCACTTACAAATCACTTAATTCCCTGGCACCTCCTTATCTCTCTGATGCACTTATGCCCCACTCTTCTACCTGACTCCTGTCTCAGGCAGCTCCAACCTTCTACCCGTCTCGCGACCCCTTCGCTCGAATTGGTGGGAGCGCTTTCTGTCACCACGCACCAAAATTCTGGAACTCTCTGCCTCAATCCTTTCAGCTTTCTCTCTTCTTCAACATATTCAGATCACATCTGAAGACCTTCCTCTTTGACTATGCCTATGGTCTCCTCTCCTCCTGGCTCAGTGTCAAGCTCTGTCATTGTTAAGCGCTCTGAGCCATTACCCTGTGTGAAGGGTGCTATATAAATGTGAGTTGTTGTTGATGAAATGTAAAGTTACAATAGAAGGCTTAATTCCACAACTAGATTTGACTATTAGATTTCCAATGAACCAGAGAAGCCAATTTAGCTCAAAGAGTCTCATTTTCTATTTGAAAAATTTGCTCCATTTCACCCATTTCTACATCCAGTAGAAATAATGAACTTGCATCAGCATGAAGCTGAGAGATCTTTTACTCAGAGCTTTGCAACATCATTGTAAATACCACTCACACATTCCAGATATTGTGGGCAAGAAGTTAATTCTGTGGCATCAAAACAAATGACCTCTAAGTTATTTACTGGCATGCAAATGCTCTGCCTTACAGAGCTTTTCAGGGGGCGCAGAGAGGCAATTCCTTATAAAAGGCTGTGACAAGCATCAGCAAAGGTCTTATTTGCTGTATTGAACAACAAACTACAGTTATATAGCTCCTTTCATGCAACATAGTGTCTTGGAGCGCTAAACAATGGCATTAGTTCACCTCAAGCTAAGGAGAAAGAGGAGTACATCGTAGGCATGGTTGAAGAGGAAGGTCTTCAGATGTAGTCTGAAGATGGGCAAAGAGGGGATAAGGCAGAGGGATTGGGATAGGGAGTTCCGGAGGTTAGCCTATTTTAACAACCTTTTTTCTGAATACTGCAATGAATGTGTATACTGTTCAACATTATTGTGCAGTTATGCCATTAGCCTGGAAAGAATTTAACAAGTACAGCAGTAAACAAAATTGACACACATCTCTCACTGTTCTAGGGCACCTCCTAGTGCCCAGTTCAGAGAAGTTTGGGAGGGAGAATGGAAAGAGGGTGGCATATTTCGCTCTCATCCGCAATTTGAGGGCAGCCTGGGAGGACCAAATTGGAAAACTGGGAAGAAAGTTTGGGAGTTTTCATCCTTAAAATATAAATACAAGCATTGGTGGTGTTCTAGCTATTCCTATCGAGTGACAATGAAGCTGACGAATGCTGGAGGCATATCTAATTTTAGTAATCTATCAGGGTGTAATATTAATTATGTCATTTAAAGCAACCAACGAAATATAAAATCTTCCCACTATCTTTTGCGTTTCCTTAGTTACCTTTGCATACTAAGACTGCTCTATATCCAATGCTGTCTTTAACCCTGGAGGAAACTGGTTTAAATTAGAATACTGCTGATATCTATTTTTGCATAATTTGAAAATGTTAATTGCCACTGGTTTTGATTCTTTAACGTACTGTATGAAAGAAAATTTTGGAAATGTTTTAAATAAGTCTTACAATACAGTTGACATTTATATAGTGTCTGTAACAAAACTGATCAGGCCTTGGGGGAAACCGAGTACTTCACATCCTTTGAGAGTAGAATTGTGCAACTTGCCTGCAAATTTAATTGACCCCTACAATCTTCACAGTAATGTGGAATCGCGTAGTATAGTTGTTAGTGCGCTCGCCTGGCAAGCGAGAGGCCCCGGGTTTGATACCTGGGCGGGGCGAAATGTTAGGCAAGTTTCTGTACTCCACTCACCTCTGTTTACCTTGTATTAGGTCGGAACTCAGTTGTTTGTCCAGAATTGAAGAAAGGAGTAAATAATCCCTCAAAAAAGGTTGGTCAATGCACAATATATTCTGTGAAGCACTTTGAGGCATTTTAACGTTGTGATAAGACAGTATATCAAATGCAAATGCAAGGATTATTTCTTATTGTAAATCCTGTGAAGGGCATTGAGATGTCCTGCCGATATGACAGGTGGTCTACCAAATATAAATATTAGTACTAAAACGCCTCACCCCTTCACCAGGAACCATTTCAGTGGAAGAAAATAGTGTGACGGTACATATTTTCTCTTTAGTTTATAGATGCTGTTTCCAACAATATTAATAATTGCAATGTCGAATGTGCTGGAAAACTATATTTGCTTTCTCATTTCTGCAGCACACAGCTGATTCTCATAATTACGGTAAGTAAAATTACTCATCTGTACTGCTCATTATCCTGTGCTTGAACTGTTCTACATTAACTGTGTGCACTCATCCATCTTCATCTGCAGTTCCATGTACATCCAAAGCTTGGCCTTTACTGGCATTCTATTAATCAAATTCTATCTGTCGCTGCTAACTTCAGTACAGGATGACCAGAATAATATTGATGAATGAATGTTACCCACGGGCAGGACATTTAGCCTTTCTCTTTCTGCCTGAATGGTATTCCTAATATTACGGGTACCAAAGTGGATTTTTGTGGAGTCCTGTAGCTCAGTGGTTAGAGCGCTCACCTCGCAAGAGAGACCTGGGTTTGATTCCCAGCAGGGCAAAACCTTGGGCAGTTTCCTTACTCCACACGCCTGATAATAATCCTTCAAGAAAAAAAACATTAATAAATTGGTCACTTCAATCCACGACTGTTTGTGAGATACTGCTGTGCGCAATTGGCTGCCACATTTCGCCCACAACTGTACATTCAATTCTCTTAACAGTATGTTCTGTGAAGTGCTATGAGATGTTTAGAAGACGTTAAAAGTGCTATATCAAATGTAAGAATTATTATTATTATTACAGCATTTTACAGTTCATTTAGACTCTTAAGCATCCTAATCCTGTTTGAAAAGAGAAGAAAGTTTCTCCTAGTGTCCCACTAAATCATCCTTCCGATTCACTGGTTATTCACCACATGGCTGTTTATGGACATTGCTGATGCAAATGACTACATACAAATGCAGTCACTACACTCGACAGTAATTGACTGTGAATTGCATTTGGAATATATGATAAGGCATTACAAAAAGGCAAATTCTTCTTAAAATCCGTTATAATTAAATATACATGGCAATGCCCCATTGTTTATTTTCTGTAGTGGTAAGTTTAACAGCTAATACCAATAATTAATGCAGATCAGAATATTGTACAGCACACAGATAGGGACCAAAAATCATAGTACATAATGGTTGCAACAAGACTTTTAACAAGAACAGCAACAACTTGCATTTATATAGCCTTCTCACGCTGTCCCAGAATGCTTTAACACATACATCTAATACCAATAGTGATTCCAGCTCTGGATGGGAATTGTAAAAAAAAGTGGAAAACTAAAATAAAAATAGAAATTGCTGGAAATGGTGAATAAGTGAAAGCAACAGTAAAGTTTAACAATTGAGGTGTGACCTTTTATCAAAACTATATGGGTGAGTTAGAGGAGCCACTTATAGGACAAAGCAGATGGACCCTATTGGCAAAGCAAAGATATAGGACAAGGTTTAAACAATGAATTTATACACAAATATGTTGTCCCCTAAATGCACAGTTGTCCAACAGATAGATGATTTCTAATTTTAGATCTGTAAGAAATCAACAGATTGTGTGCTAATAATGATAATAATAATGCTTGCATTTGATATAGCACTTTTCAGGTCTTCGAGACGTCTCAAAGAGCTTCACAGAATATAATGTAAAGTAAATTGACTGTATATTTGTGGGCTAAACGTGGCAGCCAAATCTGCACAGCAGTGTCCCACAAACAGTCGTGGATTGAAGTGATCAATTTTATTATTGTTTTTTTTTTCTTGAGGGATTATTATCAGGCGTGTGGAGCAAGGAAACTTGCCCAAGGTTTCGCCCTGCCGGGAATCGAACCCAGGTCTCTCTCTTGCGAATAGAGTGCTCTAACCACTGAGCTACAGGACTCCACAAAACATGTAATAACATGCATTCCTTTGTGAAAGTCACCCAGGACAGAAAGTGGTTATTGTTGATGAAAATGTAACAGACCAAAAGTGACATTTTGATTTTTATTTCAGATTTCTCCTTCCTTGTACTTTAGAGATTTGTGGGAAATCTGAGGAATTCTACCTTGCTCTAAACTTCGACCATTCACCCATAAGGACTATTTGAAGGCACATGTTCACTGCACTATTATTTATTTATTAAAATAATGTGCAGACTGATAGGAAATATTCCTACATTACAATGGAATATTTGAATCATAGATACTTGGGAAAAAGGCAGGTAAATGGGTTTAAAAAATCTACCCCAATATGCCTGATGCGTAAAATTGCCTCCTCTTGTTTCTATGTTTCTAATAACATTTCAGAGATTGCACATTTTGGACAATTATTAAATTCAAAATGAAGAAGGAATTAAAAATTGTCCCAAATTTTCCCTCTAAAATGCGAAGAAAAAAGTCTTAAACCTAGGACTCGTGTGGAATTTTATCTCCCTGAAATGCAAAGTAAAATTGGTTATTCACTTCACGGCTGTTTGTCGGACAATGCTGTATGCAAATTGGCTTCCTTGTTCTCCTTCAAATACAGTCACTACATGTCACAGTAAAAAAAATCTTGTGAAGTGCTTTGACATGTCTCGATATGTTAAGGTGTTGCATCAAACACAAGGATTAATACATTATAATAATAATAATAATAATAATAATCCTTGCATTTGATATAGCGCTTTTCACGTCGGGAGGACGTCCCAAAGCGCTTCACAGAATATACTGTAAAGTGAATTGACTGTATATTTGTGGGCGAACGCGGCAGCCAATTGCGCACAGCAGTGTCCCACAAACAGTTGTGGATTGATTATATATTTATACTAATAAAAATGTAATGTCTGTATCTGTGCGTCCACTAAGAACTCCAAAATCGATTGGCGTAGATCATGATTTATACCTCATCGGAAAGGTCTTGCATGGGGGAGTGTCATGGACATATTTTTGAGGGATCTCCTATCGTTGATGAGCTATGACCTAAACAAGCTCATCACACATGTATGACGGTTCCATGTACACTGCAGTTACACACGGTGGCTGTGCTGACTCCCAGTGGCGCTGTGGCACACAGTACATGCGCCCTCAGACAAAGCCAAGCGGTGGGAACAAGATGGTGGCGGTGCGGTGGCTTTTCCTGCTGCTCCTGGCCAGTCCCGGGCTGGGCGGGGCCATGTCGGAGCTGGGCTGATGGTGGGTGACGGTTGGCTCGGTAAGGCCGCTGCGTTTCCGGGTTCTTCCGCAGCCTATCCGGGGAGGGTGAAGGCTGGGGCTCAAGTTGGGGCCTCACCTGGGCCTGGGGTTTAGCCCCTCCCTCCCCTTATGTATATAATTTTATATGATAATCTATCTATACTAATAAAGACAAAATGTCTGTCTGTGTACATTCCATGTTGGATCGTTTGGTTGTAAGCGAAGCTGCATCAAGTACAGTCAGTTATAATATAAATGGATTTTTTTTATTTGTCAAATGTTAGAATTGTACAGCAGGTGGATCAGCTTTTGAAACAACAACAACAAGTTTCCATTTATAGAGCGCCTTTCACGTCGGGAGGACGTCCCAAGGCGCTGTACAGTTGGGTCAGGACCCGAGCCTTGGGGGAAATGGTCAGGGTGAGGGGAGGGAAGGGAGGGAGTGAGGAGGGGGAAGAGAGTCGAGAGGGGAGCTGAAGGCACGGTCAAAGAGAAAGGTCTTGAGACCGGCCTTGAAGGAGGAAAGGGAGGAGGCGGCGAAGGCACTGGGGGATGGAGTTCCAGAGCATCGGGGCTGAGAGGCTGAAGGCCCGGCCACCGATGGTAGGACGATTAGGGCGGGGGATGTGGAGCAGACTGGAGCCGGAGGAACGGAGGGTACGGGCAGGTAGGTAGGGGGATAGTAGAGAAAGAGAAAGTATTGGTGTTAAGCATGACTTCAGCAATCACTGACTATGTTTTAGAAACCAATTTTGAGAAATTAACCACATATTGAAACTATCAACGACAAATTACATTCATACAGCGGCTCTCACGTTGGGAGGTTGACCCAAGCTGCTGGACAGTCAGGGATTTGGACCCGAGCAGGCGGTTGGATCAGGAGGAGTGGAGGGCAAGAAGGATAGGGGTAGGAGAGTGACCGAAGGCGCAGTTGAAGAGAGGGTCTTGAGACCTTGAAGGTGGGGTGGGGGGGGGGGCTGGTTAAGCACTATTCCAAGTTCTGCATTTCGCAAATTATCATAAGTGAATTTTAAATGTGTCATTTATATGTTAAAATGACTTTAATGTTATTTTAAGTGCACTGGTCAAGTTTGGTAAAAGTACTGAATGGAACAGAATGAACCGTAGTCCTCAGTAAAAATGATTAAGAGATTAGCAGGCTGCCAAAAACCCAAATCTACCATCTACATTTACAAAGAGGCATCAGCAGAATATGAAATGTTGGCACAAGGTATTGCAGTGCTGTCTGAAATACAAAATTGATCTCAAAAGAGAGTGGGTGGGAGGTATCAGATATGCAGGCATTTAGATATACGGGAGAAAAAAGAAAGCTAGTCCATGGGAAATTAATAATAATAAATAATAATCCTTGCATTTGATATAGTGCTTTTCACATCTTCGAGACATCTTAAAAGTACTTTACAGAATATACTGTTTAGTGAATTGACTGCATATTTGTGGGCGGAACGCGGCAGCCAAATGCGCACAGAAGTGTCCCACAAACAGTCATGGATTGAGTGACCAAATTATTATATATACTTTTTTTCTTGAGGGATTATTATCAGATTTTTGTAAGAGCTATGGAAAATCAATTGTAAAATTAAGAATGAACTATAGAATTTTCTATAATTCCATGAATTAAAATTGTGAGAAAAAATGATCTTGCAGTAAGTAATTAAGTACGGGAAGCAACTAAGATGTGACGTTAACATCCATATGCAGATCATGGTAATGGTAGTTATTTAGTCAGCTTTGCCCTTACTTGGCATCATCTGCACCTCAGTAGCACTGGTGAGCCAGCCAGGCTGTTAACCATCCACAGTGCCTAGGATTATTGTGGACCTGCCTGTTTTTTGTCAGATGTATCGCCTCAAAGCCAAATTCAGTCCCAGAGAGTTCCATTTACCTACCCACCACTTGTATAATTTTACACATGGTATTTCTAAGATCACGAGAGGTTTGGATGAAGAAGGTACTTTGCCTCATCGACCTTATCTTTCCAGAATGTACATCCTACCATTCTAGTGTTTGGTTTTCCCAAGATAGAAACTATAGCTTAAGCGATAAATAGGTATACATATGTAAGTCACTGTATCACAATGGAATGAGGGCCTACAGACAGCAGTGTGGGAAGGAATGAAGGGAGAGCCACTTGCTGTGAATGCAAGACAAAAGTATGTGCATCTGGCTGAGTTGGTAGCACATTTTCTTGCCAGAAGTTTTTTGGTTTGCATCCCAAGTTTGGATTTTGAACTCATAGTGTAGACTGACAAAATAACAAAAAATTGCATTTATATAGAGCCATTTGTGCAGGATAGTGTCTTGGGAGTGTGAAGTGCTGCTCCACCTTGAACTGAGGGTGTGCTGTATTGTTGGAGGTGGGTTCTTCAGATGAGATAAGATATTAAACTCAGACTTTAACCTCTTGGTGGGAAGTGCATTTCACCTTCCTGTTTTAAAGATAAACATTAATTTACAGCTCGGGCATATCCAATGTGGGTGTAAATAACTAATATTAAATGGAAAATGTTACAGTGTAGCCATAGTAAAGGGTTAAGAATTGAGGCCAGGACTGTATACAAGTTCGAAAAACATTTTTATTTTAAAATTCCACTTAGCAGCAATTGAATCTGCAAATTAAGGGAAGGCAAAAATATCATTACGTATTTTCTAATAAAATTAGAATGTTTTTCCTTTGAATATCTCCTATGCGTTAGTAGAAGAATGCCACTGAAATCTACTATGCATTAGACCATGATTAAAACAAGGCAAACATCTTTGTAAATTAAGTGATTATATGACTAAGTTTAGGGAGGCAGGAGAAAGACTACTGGAGTAGCAGGATATAGTCCCAACTCCCAAATAACCTGAAAGCAGTTTGCTAATGAGAATGTAAAACAAGTTCTCTATTTTTAAATAAAAAGAAGTGCTTCCGAACATCTGGCCCATCATACAAATACATTACATGCATTTCACTCCACTCCAGTGCTAATAAAAGTGGAACATTCAGACTTAACAGTCTGTTAACTGGTTTATCTTACGGAGTGTTTCATTTATAGCAGTGCTTATTCTGGACATAATGAATTTTCACAATAACAAAAGTAGAGAAAATAGGCAACTCCCAGATTAATAATGTCATGATCGTACTCAACAACAACAAGATTCCATTTATAGAGCGCCTTTCACATCGGGAGGACGTCCCAAGGCGCTGTACAGTGGGGTCAGGACCCGAGCAGGGGGGAAATGGTCAGGGTGAGGGGAGGGAAGGGAGGGAGCGAGGAGGGGGTACAGAGTCGAGAGGGGAGCTGAAGGCACGGTCAAGGAGAAAGGTCTTGAGACCGGCCTTGAAGGAGGAAAGGGAGGAGGCGGCGAAGGCACTGGGGGATAGAGTTCCAGAGCCTCGGGGCTGAGAGGCTGAAGGCCCGGCCACCGATGGTAGGGCGGTTGGGGCGGGGGATGTGGAGCAGACCGGAGCCAGAGGAACGGAGGGTACGGGCGGGTAGGTAGGGGGATAGTAGGTCGGAGAGGTAGGAGGGAGCAAGGCCGTGAATGGCCTTGTAGGGGAGGATGAGGATCTTGAATTCGATCCTCTGGGGGATGGGGAGCCAGTGGAGGCGAGCGAGGGTGGGAGTGATGTGGTCCCGAAGCCTGGTCCGGGACAGTACACGAGCTGCAGAGATCTAAATGACCTGCAGCTTGTGGAGGGAGGTCCCGGGAAGGCCGGCGAGGAGAGAGTTCCCATAGTCCAGCCTTGAGGTGACAAAGGCGTGGACCAGAGTTTCAGCAGCGTGAGGGGTGAGGTAGTGCCGTAGTCTGGCGATGTTCCGGAGGTGATGGAAGGCAGTACCAGTTGTGGCGCGGATGTGGGGAAGAAAGGACAGCTCAGGGTCGACAGAACATCGAACAGAACAGTTTCAGCATCACTATTAAGGCAGTTTGTGCATTAGGGGAGGGGGATTTTAGAATGCTCATTTACTGCTGGAAAGAAATGAACTCAGTCTCCTAGCATGCATATTGTCTAGCACAGCGACAGAAAACAGAGACAGGTCTGACTCAGTACTTTGTGCTACTATAGCAAAAGTCAGATGAATTCAAACTACAACAGTCAGAGAAGTATGCAGAGCCTTAGAAATAAGACTTAAAAATAATTCTGGAGGCATGCTTTTTTTAATAACTTTTCTCTCCAGTTAATTACTAGACCATTGTGAAAATTAGAAAAATTGCACGCATAAAAACAATCAAATTAATTCCAGTTACCTCCAGCTTGAATGATTAGTTGCACCAAATGTTAAAACAAAAATAATTGAAATCCCATTGAAATAAGGCAGCTTTGTACATCTGATTGCTTGCCAGAGACTGATTCATTTGGTTAGGATATTAATAATGTAAGGGGTGATAAGATTTGAAATAAGCAAGTGAATCAATTCTATTTCAAACACAAGCTCTAAAGAAAAAGCTCCTAAGCAACTATAACAATAAGCATTATTGTTTTCACAGGATAGAGTGCGATTGTTGGTGTTAATTTGCTTCACAGAATCCTCGGATCTTCTCTGCCAGATCCAGACAGAACAAGGTATGTTTCATTTCAGAGTTGACATGCTCCAAGGGTACTTCACCCAATAGCTTCTGGGCAAACAGATTGAGATCTTGCATGAAAATTCCAACATTCTCCTTAGGTGCATCAGGTATATGTTCCAAAATGCCACATTCAAAATGGAAATTAATATTTTTGCCCCGTTTTAAATCTGGTCCTCTCTCTTCAATCCAGGTTAAAGGCCTAAAAACAGAGAAAAATGTGAAATCTGTTTGTGGTTCTGTTGATTCATATCCCACCTCACAAATCCTTATGATATGTTGGATGAACAAATGTTACTCAACATGGAATCAGTTTTGTTCTGTTTACGGCCCCAGGCACAAAATTCCTCAAGATCTTAGCCTTAAAAATTTGACATTGTGCAGAATCTCAGTGGGGAAAAAAAATCTTCATTTTAAGTCGTTTTTNCATAATTGTTCAAAAAGAACTCACAGAAACCACTTCTAAATAAAGATCAAGTTGAAAAATTTTCCAAAAATTCTACAAGATTGTAAATTTTAAGGCAACTCTAAAGTTAAAACCAGATGAATTTCAGGTCTAAGGTTATCATTGTATACATATAACAGGATTTAAACACCAATATGGGAATACGTACAAGCAAGGGATGGAACAATTCCTACAGGAGAAAAACTCTTCCACTTCTCTCCAGTGAGAGAGAATAACGTCAATTCAGCACAATATAAATGCCGAGTTAAATTTAGACCCTTTATCAATCGACTTCAATCAGCAAAATAGTACACCATCATTTGAAGTGCAATACAATTACTCACCGGTTTGTTTTAGTTTGGAAATGTGCCGTCAGCTTTGAGTAGCGTTCATTTTGTTGCTCTTCCAATGTAGCAGACGTAACAGTGAGTTCCCCAAAGAGGTCTACGAGCCATGAAATACGAGCTATCCCACTGAAGGCAAGGAATCCAGTGCGTTGCTTATCGAGAGCACTCCCTAAAACACAACCAGAGCTACATGTATGGCCTATACCTTGGACTTTTTTCTATTGGCTCCCATTGTACTCCTTCAACATAAGTGGACAAAAGTAATTTGATTGGCATAGCACCAAAACACAGCTTTTAAAAGAGTATTAAACGTATATTTGAAAAGGAGATATATAAAAAGGTATGTGAATAAGGTGGGGATAGGACAAGCTCTTTCAGATATAAAAACAGTAATCGCTGGGAACACTCAACAAATCAGGCAGCATCTATGGCGAAAGGAAAGTTTTGGGTTCACGACTGGCACCTCCCTCCTGCTCGTCCCTCGTCCCACCATTGGAGGTCGAGCTTTCAGTGGAACTGGGGAATGTTGGGAGGGAGAGGTTTTAAGGGCTAACAGAGGGGGGGGGGGCCGGGCAAGGAAGACAAAGGAGAAAATGGGGTAGAGGACAGGGGGTGATGGGTTAAAGAGGTGTTAATTATGCAAAACAAAGAAGGGCAGCAGAGGCAGACCAAAGAGAGAAAAGGTGTGTCTGGGATGCAGATGATGTGCTAATGGTCACAGAAGAGGGGGAAGGGGAAAGTAAGCTGTTATGGGAGATGGGAAGATGGAAGCTGTTCTTATGGTATGAAATTGTTGAAATCAATATTGAGACCAGAGGGCAGTAAGGTCTCTAGCAGATAAATGAGGTGCTGTTCCTTGAGCTTGCGCTGTACTTCATTGGTACAGAGTAGGAGACCATGGATGGAGAGGTCAGAGTGGGAAGGAGAGTTTAAGTAGCAAGAAACCAGAAGCTCAGGGTTGTGCTTGTGACCAGAATGGAGGTGTTCGGCAAATCGATCAACCGATCTGCATTTGTTCTCCCCAATGTAGAGGAGACCATATCCTGTGCAGCGAATACAGTATACTACAACAACAACTTGCACTTATATAGCACCCTCCTCACAGGGCACTATATAGTGTCTCAGAGCGCTTAACAGTGGCAGAGCCATGGGTGGGGCTGGGGGGAGGTGGCCGCAAGCACTGTTGAAGAGGAAGGCTTTCAGGCGGGACTTGGAAAAGGGGAGGGGGCAAGGCGGAGAGATTCGGGGCATTGTGTCTAACAGTGCGACGAGGGATGGTGGGACGAGGGACGAGCAGGAGGTCGGTGCCAGAGAGGTAGGGAGGTGCCAGAGAGTGAAGGGATTTGAACACGAGAGTGATGATCCGTTTGGTGATGGGGAGCCAGTGGAGCCTGGGCCAGAACTGGTGAGATGTGGGCACGGAGTTTGGTTCGGGTCAGTATGCGGGCGGCAGAGTTCTGAATGAGCTGGAGCTTTTGAATAGTGGAACTGGGGAGACCGATAAGGAGTGCATTTGAATAATCCAGGTGGGAGGTAACAAACACATGTACTAGGGTTTCGGCTGCATTTAGGGTAAGGACGGAGGTGGGCAATGTGGCGGAGGTGGAAGAAGGCGTCCTGGTCCGGGACCGGATGTGGGGGAGGAAGGGTAGTTGGGGGGGGGTGGCAATCGAACCAGGCGCCTAAATTGCACATTGGTTCGGTGAGTCTGAGGGAGAGCTCAGGGAGGTTGAGGAGTTTAGATCCGCACGTTGACGGGAGCCAAGGAGTATTCAGCTGCAGGAAGTTGAAGGTTCTACTACATTGGTGGTAGTACACATAAATCATTTTCTCACTTGAAAACTGTGTTTGGGGCCCTGGACAATGGTATGGGAATGGTACCACCAACACCTGCTCTCCTCACCCTGACACATTCCCAAGCCAGCGCAGGAGATGCAATACCTGCCCTTTCACCTTCTTCCATACCATTGTCCAGGGCCCCAAACACACTTCTTTAACCCCAAAACATTTTTAAAAAATAAAATTGGTCACTTCAATCCACGAGTGTTTGTGGGACACTGCTGTGCGCAATTGGCTGCCACGTTTCGCCCACAAATATACAGTCAATTCACTTTAGAGTATATTCTGTGAAACGTTTTGAGATGTCTAGAAGACATGAACAGCCCGAATCAAATGCAAGGATTATTATTATTATCCTCGGTCCTCCACCCATTTTTCCTTTAGTCTTTCTTGCCCTGCCTCCCCCCTTCTCTGTTAGACCTTAAAAGCCTCTCTCCCAAACATCCCCAAGTTCTGATAGTTCAACTGTTTTCAAGGGTTGTGAGTAATTTTGATATTTTCTGGATTTGATAACAAAATATCATTCACAACTGGTTTAAGATTTAAATCACTTATATCACTCTAGTGGACTGACTTAATGTGCCTTTCCTAAGCTTCAAATGCCTGCTGTTGTTCATCTATGTAGCCTAGTTCCTATGCCTCTGTTTACCCAGCAGTAAATAGGAACCCAGTCGTTAGTCGATTAGCGGATCGTTTTTTCGGAGGAAATAGTTCCTTAAATTTTTTTTTAAAAAATCATAAATTGGTCACTCAATCCATGACTGTTTGTGGGACACTGCTGTGCATAATTGGCTGCCACGTTGTGCCCACAAAATATACAGTCAATTCACTTTACAGTATATTCTGTGAAGCGCTTTGAGATGTTTCAAAGATGTGATAAGGCTCTATATCAAATGCAAGGTTTATTATTATCATGATTATTATTACTGCCTTAACTGATTTTGGTCATATCATTCAGATGCAACTAAGGAGTTTTCACTTAACAGACAGGATTTTTGTCATTTACAGTCCAGGGGTTTAGCCGCTGCAATCACCTGTGAAATGAAGCGTTCCCTTCAACAGCTCTTTCCCACTCACTTCCCGCTTCAGTTGTTTGTAATCTGCTGTCAGTAGCTCTATGTGCTCCTCGTGCAGAATCTTTCCTGGGTTTTGTAAAGAGAAATAATATCATACACACAGCATACATTGCAAGCCACTCGTCTACGCCCTTATCCATATCGACTCATGTTACCAGAATGCAGCTGCCCCACTATTTGCCAGAGGAAATGGGAGGATTGAACGGGCTCCTAGAGCAATTCTTTAAACTCTAACTGAGACAGTGACTTGTTTGAAAGAAAAACAGATTGCATGGCATATGTCTGGTGGTAAGGTGCTGTTGTTTTTGGATGTTAGGTTTATATAAACACTTTTTAAATGTAAATCTATCAAATTAAAACTACTGAAGGAAAAAATGGCCAAATCAGATTTTAAAACCAGACTGATAGCATTTCTCCCTGTTTCACTGTCCTTTGCCTGAACTTTTATAGCCTTGAATAGCCATCAAGGCAACTCATCAATAATCACTATGACCTAGCATGTCTTGCATTGCGACTGTTATAGATTGAATTATTGGAATTCCCATGCAGATCTAAAGATCACAACTAGGAATAACTTGGCAATGGCAGCAAGTCATGAGCCTATCCTCCCCAGCTGCTTTGAACTGCAATTTGAAAAGAACAAAAACTCTGTGAGAATGGTTACAAAATGAAAACAGAAGCTGTAAAGCAAAATTATCTGAACCGTGACATGTTGGTTAAACGTGTAAAAATCGTCTCTGCAGTATCGTATTCAAGTCGAGATTTTTTGCAGCAAGGAACAAGGGGTCATGCAAGTCCAAGGTTAAGTTCCCTGGGTTAAGTTCCATGCTTGTAATGGCTACCATTAGCGCTGACATATTTTTAATTCTTAATCCACAGAGAAGCGGGGTGAGGCAGTTGTCATATGACTTTTTAGTCCATTACTTCATCCAATTACCTTTTGCAGCAGCAAGGTCCCACAGTTCATGGGCAGCAGCAGCTGACAGTGCCATGGGGTATTCCACACACACATGCTTCCCCGCTTCCAGGAATTTCCTTTTCAATAATAAGAAAACACTTTGGAATTAATTCATTTGTTAACAAACTGAAGCAGCTCAGCATTTCTGCGCTTTACTTCCACATGTGTAAGGTATTATTTTCTCCTTATTCGCTTTCTCTTGATCTCACCAAACCTCGCATCCTGACACAGTCAGGCAGGCCATCTGCTCCAAAGCCTCCGCTAATAACCAGTTGCTAGGAGACAGTCAGAGAAGCCTGAGGGCAACTTATTTTCCAACTCATCTCTCCAACCCTGCGACCCGCCCCCGCCCCCCGCGGGAAATTGCCAGATCTCAGTTTGTCGGCTCTTAAAAACAGCAAGGGCGGAGGGGGGGGCAAGGTGTCACCATGCGGAGATTTACAACGGGAATTCACGTCCTGTAATGTACTGTCATCCTGTCATCTACTGGGTATGCTAGAAATTCAAGTGCAATGGAGGCAATTTGTGGAGATTATCAGGAATATTAACCAATTACACGCATTAAAGTACCAATAGCAGATATTAAAGAAATTGATTTTAATTTAAACCGCTCCTCTTGTCAGTCTCTTGATTTTTTCCAGCTGAGAGGAAAGCCATATAATCCCTGGTTTCTACTTATTCTGCAAAAGAGCAGCCAAGGGAGGTATGAGAGGTCAGCCCAAGGAGGCTGATCAGCCAGTTTACTGGGCAAAAATTCAGCAAATGTCAACAGTACTTTGCCACCTTAAGACTTGATCTCTTTAATGCTTTCTGGGTCAGCTTTTCTAGATTATTCAGAACTCTGCAGCTTGTATGTCTTAATAATAATAATAATAATCCTTGCATTTTGATATAGCGCTTTTCACGTCTTCTAGACGTCCCAAAGCCCTTCACAGAATATACTGTAAAGTGAATTGACTGTATATTTGTGGTCTTCCCAGTATCTTCTTCCACTCTAAGCTCCCAACCCCATCACTTCAACCCCTCCTGGCTCCACTCCAGCACATCAACTTCAGGATTTCTCTTTCTGACTGTCAAATGTTTTCACCTTAACTCAGCAATCTCTTCTAGCTCCTATACCCTGTCCATTCGCTCTACCTTCAGCCACTATGGACCCCATTCTCAGGAACTAACCAAATCCTTCCACTTGCACCCTTCCTATTTGCCTTGAAAATTCAAATTTAAAAAATTGCGCCTTCAGTCAACTCCTTCTTTACTCCTCCTCGTTCCCACCTTGTTCAGGTTTCCACTCTGCCTCTGTAAAGTGCTTTAAAACGTTTCCTTATATTGAAGGATGCTACAAACATGTAAGTTGTTGTTGTTACAGGTTGGTAAATGAGGGAAGAATCTAGCCTTGGAGTCTTCCGCAGACAACCAGAGGACCATAACCCTTTGTTCTGGGATCAGAATTTGCAGGGTTAGAAATTTTGGTCAAGTTAAGTGTCGTCTTTTAACTCTGCTATGCTTGATTGAGAGAGGACAGCTGAGCAGGCCTATTTTGGGCAGGAAGAACTATCTCCAAGTGAACCTTGTTTATAAGCAGGTTATAACAGTTAATGGAGTTCTCCAATGGCTGAAGTAAGTGATCCAGTATCATGCATTCTGATAGATATTCTTTTAAATTCGGGAATAATTAATTATTATTATTATAACCAATGAGATACAAGAAGGAAGTATAAAATGGATTCTGGGAATGTAACTGGAGTTGTAGGGTTATGGCTGGAGCAATGGACTATTGGGAGCTGATAATAAAAGAGTTACTTAATATACCAGTGTTATGGATTGAGAATCACTCCATCTTAAAGTTATGGAGTTGTGGAGTCCTGTAGCTCAGTGGTTAGAGCACTTGCTTTGCAAGTGAGAGACCTGAGTTCAATTCCAGGCAGGGGGCGAAACCTTGGGCAAGTTTCCTTACTCCACACAGAGCCTAATAATAATCCCTCCAAAAACCCCAAACAATAATAAATTGGTCAATTTCCAATCTACGACTGTTTGTGGGACACTGCTGTGCGCAATTGGCTGCCGCGTTTTGCCCTCAGGATATACAGTCAATTCACTTTACAGTATATTCTGTGAGCACTTTGAGACGTCCTCCCGACGTGAAAAGCGCTATATCAAATGCAAGGATTATTATTATTATTATTATTATTATTATTATGAGGTTTTCAACTAGGTAGCAGCTGTGGTGATAGAAAGGAACCTTGGTATCAGGAAGAGCCTCCCCCTCTGGGTTTCCCTCATCCAGACTGTGCTCAGTGTTTCTCCTTTCCTCCGCTCCTGGATACCTAGGTTTGTGTGTAGAACTGTGGGCTAAAAACATGCTTTATCTAAAACACCTTACAGCGTATTAGGAAATATAAAAACAAATGGATGGGCTTAACTGCACTTCTATGTGGAAATAATTGTAATATCAATCAAAATTGAAGAGCCCATGTGGTCTCTTTAACAGCTTGTTTTGTTGGCTTGTGACCCACTGTAGCCCTATTAAAACAGGCCTGGTGCTCAGTACCTGACATACTCCTCATGCAGCTGGTTCTCCAGGCAGATGATGGCAGCCTGCACTTCACTGCTTTCGAGAGCTTCCCCCAATGAAATCTGCTTCAGCTGCAGGACACTGCTCAGCGTTTGCCTATTGATTGGGCGAAAAGATCACAGCAATATGGTTTAGTCTGATAAGACCACAGAACACAAACTGAGCTTCACCACAAACTTAGCAAAATAATAACTGTAAAGTGTTGATGAATAAGTCTAGTCACTGCGCTTCTCTGTAATTACTGTAAAGTTTTTAAGACACTAATATTATCGGAGCTAGATTAAATGCAAGGATTATTATATTTTCCTCCTCACATCCAGTTCCTTTCATACAATACATTTTACATTTATTTCGCACTTTTCATGTCAGGAGCATGTCCCAAAGCACTTAACAAGTATACCACAATAGGTTTCACCCACGAAATATACAAGTCACTACACTTTACAGTATATTCCATGAAGCACTTTGAGACATCTCAAATATGTGATAGGAAGCTATATCAAATGCAAGGAATATTATTATTATATAGATTACATTTGTATAGTGCCTTTCATGTCGGGAGGACATCTCATAGCGCTAGGTTGATCTTTTCTCCCATTAGTGCCATTAGTGGTGCCACCTTCCTGTCACTCACCCTGCTGTCTCACACCTCCCACTCCGCTACTGATTTCCACCGAATATTTTTTTAAGATTGATCTAAAAAAAATGTAACTTGCGACTGGTTTGCATATCTGGTGGGATAACCCAATGCATGAGCTGAATGTAGTTTCCAACACTAGACCAGCAACCCATTCAAGAGTCAAGGCAGATACTTAAGCTTTTTGATTACAAAACTCTCAGTCACTACAATTTGCAGTATATCCTTTGAAGTGCTTTGAGACATCCTCCTCATGTGAAAAGAGCTATATCAAAGACAAGGATTGTTTTTTTCTAGTACAGATAAAACACCCCAACCCTGGAAATCTGAACTAAAAGCAAAACATGTTGGAACTGCACAAGTGAAACATTATTGAAAGATGATATGCTGCCATTTTTGGCATAACCTTTCCTTACATTCTTGAGAGTCACTCCTGCAACATTAACTTATTTTTCTCTTAAAGTTTTTTCAGTCCAATTCTGTAGCGAGAGAAAACGAATAACAAATTTTCACTTGGGGAGTGCAATTTTTTTGAAAGGAGTATTGGAACATCAGTGACATTCTTTTTGAAAAAGATGCAAAGAAAGACATAGCTTATGTTTGAAATGTTGTATATAGGAATACAACCATAAAAGCAAGGGAGAGGAGAGAGGATGGAAGAACGGGGAATTTATTTGTTAACAGTAGTTACAATATAATAATTCTTGCATTTGATATAATAATAATAATCCTTGCATTTGATATAGCGCTTTTCACGTCGGGAGGACATCCCAAAGCGCTTCACAGAACACACTGTAAAGTGAATTGACTGTATATTTGTGGGCGTACGCGGCAGCCAATTGCGCACAGCAATGTCCCACAAACAGTCGTAGATTGAAAATGACCAATTTATTATTGTTTTTGGAGGGATTATTATTAGGCGTGTGGAGTAAGGAAACTTGCCCAAGGTTTCGCCCTGCCTGGAATTGAACTCAGGTCTCTCGCTTGCAAAACGAGTGCTCTAACCACTGAGCTGCAGGACTCCACATAGCGCCTTATCACAGCTTTGAGAGTCTCAAAGAATACACTGTGAATTGACTGTATATTTTGTGGGCGAAACACAAAATGGCTTAATTTTAGCATTTTTCTCCAGTCTTGGGAATTTGAACATATAAAATCCAGGCCAGGGTGGTCCAACATTTTGGTTGCTGAGGGCCAGATGCTAGTTTTAAGAAACATCTGCGGGCCGCATAAGCAATATTGTTGTTTCCCTTCCAGGAACAACAATAGCAAATTACATTATAGGGCCTTTCCCGTCAGGACATCCCAAGTTGCTGAATGCTACGTAATGACATGCTGTGCAAATTAGCTGCCATGCTTGCCTACAAATTATGCAGTTACTACTCTTTACAGTAGTTGCGTATATTCTGCAAAACACTGAGTTCTTCTGATGTGAAAGGCACTACATCAAATGTTATTATTATAATATATACCCATTGGAAGATTTCAGAAATCGGAATTAGCTCATATCATCCCGTCTGCTAATGTAGCTGCCGTTGGATATGGCTCACAGACAATAAATCAGGGTCCTGCAAGTTTTGCCTTGAACGAGAAGACCACTTAGGAAAAGAACATTGTGGTCTATCTACCTGGCTCCAAAGTAAAAATAACAAATTATCCTATACTTCTCTCTCATACTCTCTTATAGCCCTCAATTAATATTTGTTAACAAATAGCTATCTAATTCTACCTCATGTTTGCTGACAGGACATCCTTGCTATAATTAAGCATTTTTGGGGACAGATTGAAAGTTGTGCCATGACCTTTTGGCAACAGATTTGGTGTTAAGGCCATGAGTGGGTCCTGGGGGGGAGCAAGAGGAGGGATGCGGACCCATCTATGGCCTGATGCTATCAGTTTACGTGCAGGATGGAGAGATTCTGGGCTTGCTCGTAGCCTTTATACCTGCGGCTACTCCCTCACCACCTGACCTGGCTTCTCCTGGTTGGCCAGTGAATGCCTGCCAGGTTATACTCCCTGACAGTTACAGGTCAATCTGGTTTCTCTCTTTGGTTAACCTGTAGCAAATCATACAAGATGGAAGCAACCTTTGGTCTTCCCTTCACTAGCACGTGGCTGGGTCAACAGTCGGGGAAATGTCCTCTGTCATTAACAGTAGCAGTGAATATTAAACAGTATCACTGCAAGAGTCTGCATTGCGGGTTCATTCCAACATGTTTTGTGCCAAGACTGCTGTGCCAGCCTAGATTCAACCATTCATCCAAAGGAGAAAAACAAGATTGAGCGAGGATCTTGGTCAAACCTCTGTGAAGTGCTGCCCTCTGGTGCTCTTGTGTCCCTTTATTTATACAGCACTCATTGACTAAAAAAAACTTAAATAACAGCGTTGCCCCTTTATAAACGGAACATTTATTTTGCCTACAAATACAATCACTACATTTTGCAGTAAATCATGTAAGGTTCTTTGAGATATTTCAACGATGTCACAAGGTGCTCTATCAAAAGCAAGAGTGACGTTTTTTTTGGTTTATTTTTAGTGCAACATCCCAGTTGGAGTTTTTTTCTTTCTGACACAAAGTGGCTGAAATCAAATTGAATGCAATTTTCCCAGAGCATCTAGCAGCACATTTACCATCAGCAAAAATATCACCACCATTTATTGTCACAATTAACTTCAGGTTCAATGCAGTAGCAACTAAACGTGGGTGATTTAGTACAGGTTTATAAAGATTCCAGACAGAATGAAGCCTACTTATCAGCCAGACTGCCATCTCTTGTGGGCAAGATATAACTTTTATTTAATGATCACCCAGCAGAGGTTAGGTACTTATAATGGTGACTATTTCTCAGCTGCCACTGGTGTGTTGCCTTTGGGTTGGAAAAAGTCACTTCAGGATGTGGTTAAGAATTGCAATTTCACATGATTTGCTATTGGTTGGAAACAATTCCTAAACTGTACGGCTAGAGTCACTCTGCCGTGAGGCTGGATTAATGGCCAGAAAGCGACAGTCAGTGGCTGTGGAAGGGATAAAACAAGCTCATTTTCACTGGAGGCAGGGCTTTTTAACTGTATACTATAACCCAGGGTAGTCCAACTGGCGGCCTGCGGGCCACATCCGGCCTGGGGGATGGTTTCATCCGGCCCACATACCCAGTCGCAATACAGGCTTGGTCTGACCCAGGAGGAAAAACAGTGGCGCGAGGCACCAGTTAGCAGCAGAACCTGTCAATCACCTTCAAACCGGTAATGGGAGAGAGATGCACATAGACAGAGAGAGAGATTCAGAAACAGACAGAGAGATACAGAGATACACATAAATATAGATAGAGGGAGAGATACGGAGATGCGCACAGACAGACACCTTGCTGCTGGCTGTATCTTTGTTTCAAAATTTGAATTTTTGCATTGCCTATTTAACGTTTGCATTATAACTAAAATATAGTGAAATTAAGTAACGCAGTTACACAATTTAAAACATGGGATTTATATGATTGTTACCAGTCGGTTCTGGAAAGAAACAAAAATATTGCGTATGTGGCCTGCGGTCATTTCTCAAATCCGCCGTCTAGTCTTTAGCAGCCACAAGATGGATTAAACTGCTGTAATCAATGACATAACCGGAGAGGCATTTGTAATAGGCCTGGTTGCTAGGAGCCCGGAAATAACTGTTTGAATTACATTGCAGTAGGAATTGGCACATTACATATTAACTGCTAGGATTATATTACAAATTTCCTGGAATACAACACACCTTCCAAAAAGCCTGATTCAGGCACTCCACTTCGGAGACTAACTTGGAGCAGTCCTTCCTACCTTTCACACTGCCTCCACTTGGTCTCAGCAAACGGCTTCTCCTCTAGCCGCCACACCATCTCGTGCGGTGTTACTCAGGGCAACCCCAGGCTCCTATTCTCTACAATCAACCGGCTCCTCCTCGCTCCCCGCCACGCCTCTCAAATTCTTTCCTCCGACTCATACAGCAAGGAAATGCTGGATTTCCTCGTCCAAAATTGAGGGAATCCGGTCAGCTGCCACTGCCCTCCCAACTTCCACCCTCTCCCTACCCCCCACCACCCACACTCCGACCACTACCCGTCCCTCCTTCCACACCTTTGAACCTGTCATCCCTCCTCTATCATCACCACCATATCCTCCATGAAGCCCACCATCTGCTCTCTGGATCCCATTCCCATCCCCACCCCTCTCCTTAAATCCTGGCTCCACCTCCTTGCCACTTCCGGAAACTGCTCTGGTCAGGTGACAAATGACATCCTGACATGTGTGACCAGGGCTCCCTCTGCCTCCGCATCCTCCTCGACCTCTTTGCTGCTTTTGACACTGTGGACCATTCAATCCTCCTCCACCACCTCTCCTACCACCTCAACCTTCAAGGTTCTGTCCTTGACTGGTTCAGGTCCTACCTTTTACACCGCCTCCACTTTGTCTCAGCAAAACGCT